CTTTTTGGGGTTCAGGGCTCCGGTGATACGGACTCAGACAGGATGTACGGCCGCATGAGAAGTGGGAGGGTTTTTTGCGTTGCCGTTGGGACGTAGAGTCGTAGAGGGTGAGGAAGCAGTCTTGAGGATCCGATCGGGGGTTTTGTGGGCCTAGGGATCAATGTCAATGTAACACATGTAAAAACGCACAAGTCCTAAAGTCTAAAGCCCGGGTCTTGCCTACAATTAAGGAGGTGGTCTTGTGGCTGCAGAAGATCAGCTACAGAGGGAGCATCTATTTCGACACCTTCCCACACAACGAGGACACGTTTTAGTGCGGAAGGGCTTGCCCCTGTAATCTCGGTCGCAGGATTGAGTTGCAACCGACAGAATCGACATGCAGCAGCAGCAGCAGCAGCCATGTTTATAGTCCGTGAAGGCTACACATCCCTAAACCCTAAGCCCAAACCTCTATAAACCCCAAAACCTAAGCTGTGCACCCTAAACCGTAAACCCACCCCTAAACCCCTAAACCCCCCCCACACCCCTAAACCCCTAAACCTTAAACGTGCCGTTGTGTTCGGCGGTCTTTGTCTAGGACCCGGTGCGGGAAGCTGAGTACAACATCCGAAAGTTCACGCGCCTTGGGGGTTACGGTTTAGGGTTTCAGGATTAGGGCTAATGTCAGGGTTTAGCCTTGTAAGTCTAGGGTTCAAGGTTTAGATTGTTGAGGTGTAGTTGTGTGGTTTTTAGGGTTTATTGTAGTATCCTTAAGGGAGGGGGGTCCAAGGGGGGTATATAGCCTAGTGATCCCTAATTCTCCCTAGTACTCCCTAAGGTTCCCTTACAGTCCCAGAAGGATTCCTTATACCCTCCCCCCTTGAACCACCCTCCCTTCAGGATCCTATAGGTTTATCGCCTGTAGGGGGATTCGGGTTTAGCTTTTAATGTGTAGGGTAGGCAGAGGACGGATTTTCGACGGCACATGGAGAGTTCCATACACTGAAACTCCAGCCCCGAACAAAACACGGTTTCGGGTTAAGGGTTTAGGATTTCGGGGTCTAGGGTTTTGGGGTTTTAGCGTTTCGGGGTTGACTTGAGGGCTTAGGGTCACCTTAGCCGTCCTTGCTTCCTCGTGGCGAGGTCCCTGTGGCAGCGTGCAGAAAAACTGCGTGAAGCTGGCTGGGACCTTAGTTCGTGTTTGAAACAGAAGATGATGTAGGAGTATGAACTGTGAAAGCCAAACCCTCTTAAAACCTCCTAAACCCTAAATCCCTAAACCGTAATCTCAACCAAGAGCCCTAAGGCTTGGACGATTTTCTGAGTGCCCACGATGCGCTCGCTTCTCTTGAGCTTATGGACAGGCTTTAGGACCCTCTAGGTAGGCTACTACAACGGTTGGGGTACTGTAAGGGGTCGAGGGGATTGCTGGTGTAGGGGTCGGAATATTTCGAATTAATTAGCACATCCCCGTATAGTCCCCTGAAGAAGTTAGTATGGTATGTTAGACACATTTCTATGTCTAAATTCCAATATGTATGTATAGATATACACATACATAAACATAGAAACATAGAAACATATATATATATATATATATACACATATATATGTATATACACATCCCGAATCTTATCCCAACTGTTGGGGCCGGTACGGTTACGCTAAAGCCCCACTGCTCGCAAAGCTGTAAAGCCTGAACCGAGGAACTCGGAACCGCACATTCCAAAAAGCAAGCGATCTAAATCTAAATTCTGTAGCCCAGGCCCACCAAGTTCTTCTTCCAACTCATTATGGTGCACCGGTTAACGACCAAAACACCCTCCAGAAGGATTTGGAAGGGATCCTAGTGTTATGGTCTTTCAACTGGGGGAGACAATTAACTGGAAGCAGCAGAACTCTACTGTTGATGATATAAATCCTGCATGACCCATAATAAGGAATATACCATACTTCCCATAGTTTAGGGTCCTTAAAGTAATACAGGATTTTTATCATCAACCGTACCTGTAGCACGGAAGACCCTCCAACCTGAGGTTGTTCTCGGATACCCCTGCTAAACAGTAGGCGTTGTGGGGTTTTTACAGGTATTCCCGAACGACATTGCTCAAAGGCAGGCTGTGGATAGAGGTTCTGCGAACATTATGCTATCCAGACTGCGGCTGCTGCAGCAAAGCGCGAAAGAGTGCATTCAGGGTTCGGAACTTCGGGCTTCTTAGCTCGGGGCCCTTTTGGTCAGGATCCCACTGTCTAGAATGTACCCAGGGGTGCCGCTGATTTCCTGAAATCGTTGTCTAAGCGGTGAAGTTCGGATTCCCTAAGGGTCCAAGTAGTCCTTACTTTTGGTTTTTCGTACCCAGACAGGACCCAAAGTCTTATAATAGAGCCCTAAAGGTCCAAGTACCCAAATAGTAGGGTTGCAAGGTCCAAAAACCATTCAGACTTTGGATTTTGGGACCTAAATCCCTACTATTTGGGTACTTGGACCCTTGGGGAGAGTACTTGGACCCTGTGGGATTGTGGACTTAGGCCAAACCGGGATCCTCAAAGGACGCACAAAGGAAGCCCTTAAGGGGTGCATTAAGCGCTCCTTTCTTGGGTTCCTTTAGCGGGACCTAGAACCCTAGGGAGAGGTTACCTGGAGGTTTAGGGGCACTTAGTAAGCAGGCAATAAGTAGACTTGTAAGTACCCTACAACGGATGCTCATTCGGAGTGTGGTACTTTATAATTCTGCAAAGTAACTACTCAGTAAGTCCCCCGACCCTCCAAGTAATTAACGATTCAAGGTTTTGGGTCCAAAGCTCGGTTGAATCGACGCTTCAGCCGTTTAGGGTTTTAGGGCTTTCGGGCTATTCGGGCCAGGGTACTGTATAGTAACCCTAAGCCCTAAACCCTAAACCCTAACGGGTTTTAGGCCTTAGCCCTCAACGTACAAGCCAAGATGCTGAACGATGCATCGCTAGTTGGGTCGAGCCTCGGTTTTTCCATGAGGGAGTTTCCGAAAATAGGGGACCCCAATACCCTAAATAGTCGGATCCTTATTATAAGGACCCGACATAAGGTACCCCTAATTTTCGGAAACTCCCATAAGGGTCCAAAGGACGTAGTACTTGGTGTTTTAGGGGTTCCCATGAGTCGTAAGAATTCCAAGGACCTCATAATTAGGCATCGGGGTTTAAGATAGTAGCTTTGTAGGCTACTAGTTACTATTGGGCGAGTATAATTATGGCGTGCTTGATTTCGCAGGGTTTTGTTTAACAGTTCATGTCCCCCTCCTGAAGCATAAACTCCTCTAGTTTAAGAGTGGCAATCATGGGGATCCGAAACCCTAAACCCTAAACGCCCTTAAAAAAGCTGTGTCAAGAACCAGGGGTCTTAAGGCTTATATAGGGTGTGGCGCTTAGGGTTAAGGGGTGCAGGGTTAGGGTTTAGGCCCTAAACTTTAGGGTTGTGTTAAGAACCAGGGCTGTGCATTCAGTCAGAGGGTTCAGCACTTCGGGTTTACAGGTGAAGGGGCTCAGGGTTTAGGGGATCGGGGCTTAGGGTGTAGGGGTTAATTAGGGTTTAGGGGTTTGAGGGTTGCTTTCATGCTCAAGACATGGCTCAGAGAGTGTTGGGCTACTTAGTAAGTTTAATGCCGATGTCGTTTTGAGTTTGGCGCTTTGTTTTTGAAGTTTTCGTGTGTAGATGCTTGGTGAGTCAAATTCCTGAGCCACTCCACCCTACATCCTGCACAGCTTCTGAACCCTATAAGCTCTTGCCGCAACTACCTGCGCCTACTTCTTGTAGGATTCCAACAATTTCTAGGGCTGCATCGCAACCCTAAGCCCTAAACCCCTAAACCCTAAACCCTAAACCTAAACACCCATATTCTGAAAGCCCTACGCCTTGAACTCGCTTACTAAATCCCTACGGCACGGAGGGGCTCCTGCGGAAACCACTAGCCCGGCAGCTTTTTGTTGCTGGCTCCAAGATGTGGGGGTTTCCGAAAATTCGGGGTACCTTATTTGGAGGTCCTTCAAATAAGGATCCTACTATTTAGGGTACTGTATTAGGGTCCCCCATTTTCGGAAACCCCCATGTTAAGCTAAGGGTTTAAGGGTTAGGGGCCTTACTCTGGTATCAGCACGTGTCACTTACTGCAAGCACAATATCTTTCGAGACCTCAGTCATACTACTCAGGCATTCTTGTATCAACCCATAGGACAGGCGATGTGTGATTCAATGTAACTTTGTTCCTTGATTCAGTGCTTCGGAATTTTCTGGGTCCAATCGTACAGATGTTTGAATACGTAGCAATACAATAACATCCCTTCTAAAGTTACTTTTTGAAGTCCGAGAAGAACCCAGCAGACCTCTACAAATAAGATTCTCAACGAACCATTTAGAGGAGCACTTGAAAGAGCTCTGGACCTTAAGCCGTAGAACCCTAAACCCAAAGCCCTGGAACGACAAGCCCTAAGCCCTAGAGCCCTAAATCCTCAGCCCTGAAAGCCTAAGCCCTAATGCCCTACAACCCTAAAGCTCTAAAGCCTTAAAGTCCTAAAGCCTTAGAATACCCTTTAAAAGGGGGTTTAGGGTTTAGGGGACCTTGTTATCGTACCCCATGGAACCCCTCAAGCCCCGAAGCCCTGAGCCTGGACCACTTGGAGGGTCGGGGGACTTACTAAGTAGTTGTTTTAGAGAGTTATAATTCCCTAAGGGTCCAAGTGCCCAAGTAGTAGGGTTTCAAGGTCCAAAAACCACTCAGAGTATGGATATTGGTACCTAAATCCCTACTATTTGGGTACTTGGACCCTCTGGGATTAAGTACCATAACCCCAATTAGGGTCCATTCTAGGTTATAATTCTGCTTATTACCTACTTACTAAGTCCCATACCTCCCCTCCCTCGTAGATCCCCTTATGATCCCCCTATAGAGCCCTTTAATAAAGGGCTCTATAGGGGGATTTAAGGATCCCTTTAAGGGTCCCTTTAAGGATCCTTACTAAGTCCCATACCGACCCTCCAAGCGGCGCAGGAGCGAAGTCCGGTGAAGCCTGGAGCTGCCTCTGGCCAAAGTGCTTCGCCCAGTAAGCTTAGGGGTTTGGGGGGGTTTAGGGTGTTTTGTTGGGGTTTAGGGCTTACAGTTTAGGCTTTGGGGGGTTTAGGGTGTTTTTTTTGTTTAGGGTTTGAGGGCTTAGGGTTTAGGGTTGAGGATTTGGGGGGTTTAGGGTGTTTTGGATTTAGGGCTTAGGGCTTAGGGTTTGGGGTTTAGACCCCAATCTACCCTGAGGGTGGCTTCCTGCTTTAGGAGGGCCCGAAATCCCCTAGGGAGAGTGTAGTTTTGCATCGCAGCTTGCGTAGGAGTTTGTATGGTCGTGTACAGTCATCATGTTGTGTACTATATACCGCTGACTATTGTGCCCAAGCCCTCTGAGTAAAAGGTTAGCGCGACCGCTCATGGCTTAACGGTTTTGGTGTATTCTATAGGTTGTCAGCCGTATTCGCTGACTTTGTCTCCGTGGTATTCTTACACTGGTATTCACACTGGTACATGAGTACTTCGCCCTCTCTGCTCACTACTGAGAAGGGAGAAACAACTGAAGTATCATCGGACGAGATGGACGACGAAACAAGAGATCGACTGCTTGATGAACAACTCACAGCAGCTGGCGCGGGCCCTATTGCATCGAGCTCAGGATCCCAAGCACTTGATAGGATCTTCGGTCCAGTGGGTCCTACCCTATCTCCATTTGTCTCAAATCCAACGGTCGACATCTCAAACGTGCAATATACCTTGTACAATGTTGTGAACCAGGGTGAAACAGCCGAACAGCAAAGAATGGCAATAGAGCGAACGGAGGCAGATGCTGAAAGAAGACACGCAAGCATTCTGAACCAACAATCGCATGATAATCTTGTGAGAATGGCTGGCATGGCTGAACAGGCCGAGCGCCTTCATGAGGTGAAGATGGCAGAATGCGAAGCACAGTTTGCGGAATTTGAGTTCAACGCATCCCAAAGGGAAAAGTTTTTGTTGAACGAAGTTGCAACATGCAGGAATGAAATGAACATTCTGGAATCAATTTTCCAACAACGACATCAGTCGGAAATCGCTAAGCTCAGAACCACTCTGATTGCTGAGAGCGAACGCAACAAAGCACAACATCTTGACTTTCTTGGAATCCGATTCAAACAAGTCCTTGAAGAAACCGAAGCGAGTATGGAACGGCGTTTCATTACTGAAATCGCCGAAATGAGTGCACAAAACGACAGACTGCAGGATGAACTGGCTGCCGCAGAACGAGCCTTAAGAATGGAAGCCAATGCGGACGAAGCGGGCAAACAATATGCCACGCCGAAGCCAGGACCTAATCCTACTATCCCGTTCTCCAATCCATTTGAGATTCCCGAGAACATGAAGGACATCTTCGGAAGAACGCCGCAAGCTCAGGAACCTCCGCAAGGAACTTCTGTACCACCTGGGTTTGAGAACAGAGAGCCACAAAAGGAAAAGTCTCCTAAAGCTGCCCAAACTGGTAAGCCGGCGACTGTTGATCCAGACGGGGTTCCACATGTTGATTTCGGAGCTGAGGCATTGATTAGGGCAGCACGCTTGCTTACCCCTAAGACCGAAGATGAAGAGGGCAAACCAAAGGTGAAAGAAGCCGAAAGCATCAAGCTTCCCGATTACCCTAATCCAGAGACCTACCGATCGTGGCGGATCTCGGTCCGCGAGATTGTGCGGGCTGCGAGCGATCGCCCGGATGAGGCATTTCGCTGGGTGCAGGAAGTATATGATAAAGAGGCTACCCTCAAGTCCTTACATGACACTGGGAAATTCTTAACATTGGACACGAAGTTGTTGGCTGCACTTACCAGAGTCGCTAGAGGAGAGATTTCAAGGCAAGTCCTAAACTTCAAGGAAACAGAGGCCACAGGAGGACGTGCCGTCAGGGGAAGACAAGTATTGTGGATGTTTCACCAACACTTTAAGACTAATGAAGAAGTCGGAAGCCTCTATAGCGTAGAGGACCTTTTAAAAGTGAAGTTGGTTGGGGACGACTTGGCTACCTTCCTTTACAACTTCGAGTCGGTGATTGCTGGAATGAGTCATGTTCCGGATGAGGTTACTTTGAGGGACATTTTGCTGAGGGAAATTCGGAAATCCCACCACATCAAGTACGATCTTCAGCTGTACGACAGGGCAAAAGAAGGAAACCCCGTACACACGTATGAATTCCTCGTCAATGCCATTAGGGAGCATCTGACTAGAGAGCGTATGCGCAAGAATCGTGATCGCATCGCTAAGTCGCATGGCGATAGATACGGGGCCCCAGCGTACGGATCTGAACGTCGCCCCTCTTCGCGAGGAGGCCGTGGAAGAAGCATGTCCCGAAGTAGCTCAAAATCCAGAACAAGCAGCAAAGGATCGAGCCAACGAACACCGCCTAGATCTCAGAGTCCCAAAACACAACAGGTTTGTTACGACTTCCAGAAAGGGAAATGCACAAGAGGCGACAAGTGTAAGTTTCTCCACAAACCAAAGTCAAGATCCCCAAGTCCTCATCGAACGCCTCAGAAGAAGATCAACGCGATTTGCACCTTTTGGAAGAAAGGTAAGTGCAACAAAGGCAAAGACTGTAGGTTCCTGCATCAAGATAAGCCCAATCCAACTGACGCCGCTCCTACCGAGCAGGCCGCCCCTGCGAAGAACGATGAAAAGCCTAGGAGCCCGACCCCGGATCCTAAAGCAAAGAAGGAAAAGAAACACAGGGGCAGGTCCAAGAGCAAGGAAAAGTCTGGCGGACGCACGGCAGCTTGTTGCATTTCGTATGCGCTGGCAGCTGTGCCCAATGGGCAAGGCGTTAAGGGTGATGCTTCAGGAACGTTCAAGAAACTAAGGTTCAAGGAGAAGCCAAGCATTCGGGAGATTCCATTGGATGGTAAGGGTAAGAAGCATAGGACCAAACCGCGAACTTTCGAAGTTTGTTACTTGGATGCTGAAAGTTGCCCAAAGCCTCCAGTTCAGGACCTAAGCACGGCCATAAGAACAGCGAACGAGCTTGCCAGGATCATGTCCTGTATGCTCAATGGGATTGAAAGCCACTGTGAGTACGAGTGCACAGATGACTGCGAAGAGGGTGAGATCCCAGTTGCAGTGTTGAAGTGCGAGCTGTGTTCTAGCGTTGAAAGAACAGCATGCTCTAGCTTTAATGCGGGATTAGAATTCCTCGCCGATACTGGCAGTGAAGAAGATCTGATCAGTAGGCACGATCACTCTATCTACTATCCAGAGGCTCCCATCGAAAACGCTAGTAGGCCGGTCAACTTGATTACAGCTAATGGTCCAGTTCAGGGAATCAAGTCAACCAACATCCCGATGCCTGAACTGAAGCAAAACATTGAGTGCTATCTACTGGAAAGCACGCCACCGGTTTGTTCTGTTGGGAGAAGATGCATGGACGATGGATATGATTTCCATTGGCCTGCGGGCAAGGTTCCATACTTCATAGCTCCCGATGGTAAAGTCATCAAGTGTAAGATGAAGGGTAGAGTCCCAGTGATCTCGAATGATGACTCGGTAGCGAGCCCAGCAAGTGCTGATGATTCCCAGAAATCTGCTGGAACTCAGGTGTTTAACGCCGGTACAGTCAAGGTTGAACTGGCGGCACCTGCGGAGGACGAGTCTTCGGGTTTCCAGTAGAAAGCCGTCCGAGAGGACCGGCCGGGGATGAAAGAGTCGTTCATAGCGACTCCGAGATAGAAGAAGCAATCAATGCCGCACCACCAATTGCAATCAAGCCTAAAGATTTAGCCAAGCCAGGTTGGATCACTAGCAGTGAAATTGCCGCATCAAAGATCATTATTGGTCATCGGCCAAAGGCTTTGCGAGTACCTGCACCTCGTCATCCAAGGTTCGTGCTAAGGACCACTTGGATCTACAAGGACTCTGCTTGGAGCAAGATTGAGGATTCTGTTGACATCAGAAGTCTAAGGGTTAAAAATCAAAAGATTGATGGATCGCCAATTCTGTCGATTACTGCTTTCAAAAGACCCGAAGACGACCCCTTAATCGAGCCCGATAGTGACAAGGAAGAAGATGAGGGAAGGGAAATTTCGCAAGAAGCCCGGCTTCGCGCCGAGGCCGAAAGCATCCATCATCAATTCTGCCATCGTCCTAAGAACCCATTCTGCAAAGTGTGCCAAAAGGCGAAGATGCTATCTCCCCAAGCTCGAAGAAAGGGGGGATCTTCGACCATACACAGTGAAAAGTATGGGGATCATGTTACCATTGATCATCTCGTGACAAGAGATTTGAGGGACTTTGGATTTCAGGATGAGAGGGTGGCGCTTGTTATCAAAGATGTGTTTTCGCAATTCAGGTATGTGTATCCAAGCACAACAAAATCATCGGAACAAGTGCATGAGGACCTTCTGCACTTTTTCGGTACGCAAGACGAAGTTGGGGTTATTTACTCTGACAACGCGCCGGAGTTGGGAGCAGCTGTGAAGGAACTCCGATGTAGGCACAACACCTCTAGAGAGTACGTGGATGAAACTAAGGCCGTCATCGAACGGGAAATCCGCACCGTACTAGAGGGTACGCGCTCGAACTTGGAGCAAGCCGGTCTTCCAGAACGGTTTTGGCCTTTAGCAGCTCAGCACCACTCCATTGCGCTCAATCTCACAAAGCGAGTGGATACTGGTGAAATCCCATGGGAGGCACGCTTTGGGGAGTCCTTTGCGGGATTGATTGTTCCTTTCGGAGCTAAGGTCTTGTATTGGCATAACCCTAAACAGAACGTTCCGGAGACTTCCAAGTTTTCGTCAACTGGGGTTGAAGGGATCTTCCTGGGATACCATATCCAACCAGGGTTTGTTTGGAAGAAGGAGTATTTGATTGCACCCGTGAAAGACGCACAGTTTGCCATTGAGGACGGAAACCTCAAGGTCATCAGGGCTAAGCGTGTTGAGTTGATTGAGGGAAGTTTTGAGTTCCCACTTCAATCGGAAAGGATCAAGGATCGCGAGGCACACGAGGTTCCACAGTTGGATGATCAGAACATTCATGCTT